AAGCATAGAGTAGAAAATAAAAGAACCCTAAAGCCCATTTTTCTACCCCAACCCTACCTATCTAGTTTTCAGCTTCTCCACTGAACTACCAAGGGTTGTCAATTTTGAAATACAGATCCATCTCGCCTTCCTTTGCTTTCTTTATTTATGTAGCTTAATGATAAAATCTTTGAAAGGCATTTATTATCTTATACATTATTCATTAAGATTATATTTCAGAGTAAATTTAGAAATTATAACAATATTTCCAGGAACTATCATTAATGGGAGATTCAGAGTGTAAAGTTCTTCTAGAATTACTTCAGTATGTGGCTCAAAACATACCTCATTCCTTCACTCTATCCTTTTTGTATTTTACTTAAAGATAGATTTGTACTAACTTGTTTTCCAAAGAATGAGGAACCAGCAGTTGGCATAATGGCTATGTCTCTGGACTCCCATGTAGTCGACCATGGTTCAAGTCCCAGACCCAGTGGCTTCAACTCATGACAGGCATGTATGTGTGTGTGGGTGCCCAAGAGCCCAAGAGGAGAATGGAGGAGAAGGGATTGTGGCATGGCTATCTTCCCTTGGGAGAGGGGGGTGGTTTCTTGCTTTCTGTCTCTTTGTCTCTCTCTGTCTTTCTGGTGAGTGCACATGCCTTATCGCAAAAACCTGTCAAAAAAAAAAAAAAAGAATGAAATGAACTTGTTTATAGAGAAAAATGTCTTCTCTATCTTTGGCAAGAATAACTCTGTATACTGGAAGAAGTGAAAGCCTTAGCTTGGTGGTATGGCATGACTATAAACTGTACAGCAGCCTGGATGACCCCAGGATCTTGGCATATGAGGACTTCAAAAAGTTCATGGGAAATACATACTATGAAAACACTTATGCATGGATTTCACAATTTCTTTGCACCAATATCAACTTGTACTTTAATCCATTCTTTCATGAACTTTTTGAAGTCCCCTTCTTTCATTCAGTGTAACCTGTATATAGAGTGGAACAAGAGGAAGTGGAAAATATCACTGGACTAATATTATGAGGAGACTTTAAAATGTTCATGGAAAAATGGAATTAAAGTAAAAATTCCTTTTGGGAAAAAATTGAAATGCATGCATAATTTTCTTTTAAAAATAGTACACATTTTTTTATTTTTGGAATATTCCTTATATTTGTCTTTATAATCTTGGTATCTCCCTTCAGGATTAAGCTTTGGATTTCTATTTAAGAGTTATTCTTGCCCCACTCCCAGACTACAAGGGATGTGAGATGATAGTGACTGAAATTCTATCCAGATGGGGTATAATTCAGTGGGAGCATGACTTAGATTTTAGAAAAAACATTAAAGCAGATTTCCAGGTTTCTTGTCATCACTGGCAACACGAGGAAAATGGAGAAATCAATTTTCTCAGAAAAGTTTGGGTTTCATCCTGATTTAAAATTGAAAAAGAAATTTTGATTAATTAAGGGTCACTTGAATTTACCTATCCTCTTCAGATCAGTTTCTCTTTTCCCATTTCCTCTTTCTCCCTTTTGCACCTTTTCAGTCCTCTCACTTCTCTCTCTTGTATCTCCTAATTCCCCATCGCTCTCTTTTGCTCACCTTTATCCCTTCAACCTTCATAATTTACCTTTCCATTTTCCTAACTCGTATACTTTTTCCTATTTTTGTCTTCTATATGGACCATCTTTTAGGCAAATGCTTTCAAATTTTTGGCCAGACCCTAATAGCAAGAAGGAGCCCTCTACAGCTTGCTAGCAAAGAGAAACATTATCAGAATGAATTAAATAATTACTCACAATCTTGACTTGTATATTCTAACCACTGATTCTTTTAATTCAAGTCTATTTAAAGTTTTCTTCATTCATTTTGTACCTAAAGTAAGAATGTGACTACTTATTTTTCTCTGAACAGTCCTGAATTGAATATATTGAATTCTAGGTATTCTAATCCTTGTTAACTATCCTACCTTTAAAAAGTATCCTTTATAGGATGTCTTTCTCTGTGATATTCTTTCATTTTCACTTTCTCAGGATAGCTTCTGGTCTTGAAAAGGTGTAACAATATCTGCAAATTTATTTCTATCGATCAGATCAACTAACTTATGTATTTGTCTCCTAGTTATTGAACTTACAGCATATACTCAGCGGTACACTGTGTATTTCAAAAAAAAAAAAAGGTAATGATAAATTTGCACATGCAAGGGTTTCTTATATTAGTCTTGTGTCTCCACTTATCACATTTCTATTTTCTGATAACAAACAGAACGAAATATCTTTTCCTTTCATATGATGTGCTTTCATAAAATCAGACTTTGTCTCAATAAAGAAGACAGCAGGCCCTTTTGTTTTACAAAAGGAGAGTAATTTAGTTGTGATCATGAGCTTACTAAGAGGCAAATTTTACCCCTTTACAAACTAATGGTAATCATCTAAGTATTTCTTCTACACAGTCTTTTCATACGAAAGCAGGTATCTCCTATACAAAATAAATGGGGAAAGCGTCCATTTTACAATAGGGATCCACTGGAATGTCTGTCATACTTTAATTACTAGAAAACTAAAGTAAAGGGATGAAATTTAAGACTTAATTTCTGTAAGAAAACTATGAGATAATTTTAATTTACAGCAGCCAGCAATCAGGGTGTTGACGTTTTTCTCTAATCCATAGGTTTTTGTGTTTTAAACAATGACTAAATACTGTATTTAGTATTTTACATAGTAATTCTCTAGTGAATATTTTTTAAAATCTACTTTAAAATGCTGATGGCTCTGTGGCCAGCCTCCATAGCTTACTGATCTGCAATGCAGGAAGCCACCTGGCCTACTATAGGTTCCGATCCTGAGCTGACCCAAAACACATCAGGTCTAGTTGAGCACCCAAGTTCCTGACTATTGGGGGGCTTAGCAGAAGGTGGCCCCAGCTTACTAGGCTCCTGTAGAGGAAGCATCTGTGCCCTTTCGCTCATGAAAGAAATAAGGTAAAATAGAAAAAAGTTGCTGACTCTGTAAATATCTACATAAACACATTTTTAATCCCTTAAGAATAAAAATAAATGCACTCCAATAAAGGAATATAAAAAAGTAGATTTACTCCGTATTAAGACATTTTTAGAAATCTCAAATCCATCCTATTTAGTATGCTACATTTCAGGAGGACACTTAAAATAGAAATAAATATTGGAGCTACCTTTTCTTATATTTTAATGTCCATCATATCCTCAGGATATGTTTTCAGGAATCAGAAATATCAGAAAAATCATCTGTAGTAAATATTAAGCACATCTATTCTCTTCATTTTCCCAAGACCTAGAATGTTCTATGATTCAAGCATATTATATTCATTTTAACTAAAAATAAGGTATTTTATATTTGGCAATTGCTATTTCTGCATTTTAAATACATGTCTACTTTTGTTATTTTCTAGGATTCATAGATATTATATAGAAGTCAATGCTAAAACAAAAATCATGCAGCAGCGTGAATTAATATAGTCAATTCTGTAAAGAAATCTACTAGTATCTTGTTCAACCTACTCATTGTCTATTGTATACAGCGCCAAGATTTATGACTTTCTATGGTCTAAGTGTGCATATGATAACTTGTTAAAATGCTTCCTGCTTAGACTATACTGATTAACGAGTTTAGATGTACACAGACTTTGTATCAATACTTTGTGTACGTGCTTTCCCTTTTGGCCACTCTTCATTTGACCTTATGATTATTGCTCTAAGAACTTAAATGAAAACAGGGCAGAAGTTAAACTTGAAGAAATCTGTAGAGCATGACCTGAAATGAACATTTGAAATTGATAAGAAGGGACACCTGGTAGGACCTTTGACACCTATTTGCGCTGTGTCTTTGACAAGGCATTTTCCCTCAAACCTCTGGGACACTAATGACATTTGGCAGCCTCAAAATAGAACCATGATGTACAACCATGTGATGACACTATGCAAAATATATTTTTTATTTTATTTTTGCAAACTATTTTTTAATTGTGACTAAATCTATACTACCAGCTAGTTATAAAATGGATGTTTGAATTCTTAAGCTTCTTATTCTTTGTTTACCTATGTTGTCTAGATGAATAAAAGGTGATTTTTCTCAATATTACCATTCAATTACTGTTTAAGTGTTGCAATTAAATTGTTTCTACAAATGCTTTGGAAAAGATGCAGAATCAGCTATAGCTAGGTATCATAGATTCTAACCTTGGCTTCCTGTGTGACTTTGAATGATAATTTATTTTCTTGCTTTACTTGTTTTACTCTGAAATCAATATTTTGTTTTGATTTATTAGTTTTTATTTAACCAAATAAGATAGCCTCATTATCTTAATCAAGGGTTATTCAAATAAGTATACAATTTCCATTTACTTCTATTATTATACATATTATGTTAGTCTTATCTTCTTGAGCAGAAATTCATTAGTACAACCAACTAATTGAATTATCAACAAAAATAAATTTTACTACGGAAAATGATGGTATAAGTTCAAATGCATGTTGAAGAAAAAAACACTACAATCTATTTCATTTACCTTTTATTCTAAAGGTAGTAGAGTCTAACCCAAAATAGTGCATCAATACATAATATTCCAAAATAAACATTTAAACCAATAGAATCAGAGATATTCTGTTTTAATTCAATAGAGACATAACAGTACCAGATGAAGTAGATGCAGTCTTTGGACTGAAAGGGAGACCATTATCCTCATTATTTTCTCTGTGTACTCAAATTACTACACAGAAAGCATTGTCCTTGTCAAGTAAATGTGGCAATTCTTTTGTGTCATTTTGATAAGTTGTGTCATCTTTTACTAGCTACTTATGGGTATGTGCACAAAACTAGCATAGTAAACTGAATTAATATTGAGTGATCTATGAAAAATAGGATTATTTTTAAACAACATGATAACATCCTTACTACCTTGCATTTAGGAGGCAAACAAGGTTGTAATAGCAAAGGTTTCATGATATTCTCTAAAACGAAAATACAATAACACAACCCACCTCCCAATCCTGGTCTGAGACGATTATCATAACCATCTAGGAGTCTGTCCAAAATCCTGGTGAATACCGTGGTATTATCTTTAAGTTCATCTTGTAATGAGGGCTGTCCAGAACTGCAAAGAACAGAGGAGCAATGGCTAAATTATACATTCTTATTAAAATATCTTAAACTCTTTTCCACATTTTCCTACCTCCCTCTCTTTTGAATCCTAATTTGAAAATTCCCTCTGGTAAAGTTAAAACAAATTTTTTTTAAAGAAAGAAAAAGTTTTAAGTATTGCCATTTTCTCGTGTTTGTCCTCATTGATGATAAGCTCTTTGTTCTAGTATCTCTAAATATGAAAGGAAAATTACAGGAAATGAGTTTAGTCTCTTTACTTTTTTGAGCTCTCAACATGTGTGTTATGTTGCAATACCTATCTTCTCTAAGAAAAAAATGTTAATATGTGCTAAAAAATATTGGGGGAAATTTTTCTCAAATTAAAAGATGTATTATATTGTTTTTATTTTTAATAACTTAACATTTAGCAAATGCCCAAGGTCTAATCTACCTACATCCTTGATTCATTCACTTCAGATAGATCTGCTTAGTTCTTGTTTTTTTGTGTTTTTTTTTGCTGTTTTTGATGTCCTTTTAAGAGATTTAGATGAAAAAAAAAGATTAAGTTGTTTCTTGAAATAACTGTATTCTATATTTTTACCTCAGTGTGCAAGTTTCTATTCCATTAAAATTCGTGAACTAATTTTTAAAATTTGCCAATTCAGAATTTTAACTAATTATTTTTCCTTTTATTCTTAGATGTAAAAGAAATCTCGAGAAAGATCCAGTTTAATATTTTTAATTTATCATTTACTTTACTGCACCATGATTTTAGTATTTTGTTTAGGAAGATACGGCTATTTGTGAGCAAAGCTTTTCCTTATCTTGGAAACTAGCTTTCTTGAACTTATAGTTTAAGACTTTGTTCCATTCTTCTGTATTGCAATAACATTTTATATTTAAGTCTTACTAATTGAGAACATACCTTGTGTCCCTTAGCATTCATTAACAGCCTTTTAATTTCAACCACATAGTAACCACAGCTCAAAAACTGCATTTCTTTCATCAATCTCATTGCTATTTATGCCCCTTGCATCATATTTTATGTAATGATTAGCGTGACACCTCCAAAATCCTTTGAGAAGGGTTTTTCCATCTTAGGAAGGATTACACTCACTGATCTATTTCATGATAGCTTTGACCTTGAGTGTAAAAATAAAAAAAAAAAATGACTATAGAAATAGGGTGTAAACTAAAATACTGCCATGAGTCTATCACTTTCATCTTTTCTATTTCATATGCTTTGGCTTCATTCTATTGTGTATATATTACTGATAAATATAAGAAAAATAGTAAGATTGAAAACATAATACACTTATTTGATGGGAGCAAGAAATATAATCAAACTATGACTTTGAAGACAAATATGGTTTTACAATTAATTGATTTTGTATTGGCAGAATGGAATGGCCATTTTTCTGATAAAACTTTAATTTTAAAAAGTTATTATAACTAAAATTCTATTCACAATATTAAATATATGAGGTGTGTCTGTATAAAATAATTTTTCCATCTCCTAAATTGAACATGAATATCATGTAGAATGAGGATTTGCTTACTTTCCTTGGAAACATTAAACATTTTGTTATTTTTATAAATCAAATGTTCAATAAGCTTTATGTCTTCCAGTATCTCATTGGCAGATGATAGCAGCAAGGCAAAAAAAAACAGTTTTCTGAATGTAATTATTTATAAAACAAAACAAAACAAAACAAAACTCATTGTCATAAAACCAGCTGCCCTGCATGTATTTTTCAAGGATATTGGAAGGTCATCTTGATAAAGATGGAAAAGAAATGCTAGCACACCTTAAGTTGTGAGAAGGGCATGATGGAGAACTCTAAGAAATAAGCATTAAAATAGGAAGGGGAGAAAAGCTGAGATGAGGAGACATTACGAAGTACACCTTACATTATTAATACAACCCCTAGAATATGGAGTGTCTATTACTTTTACCTGTATTTTCTGTTTTTACAGCTTACACAAAATTCAGAAAACTCTTTTCTCTCTGCTTTAATCTCATAAATGTTACTTTCAGCAGGTGTTCACATTGGAATACAAATGCCACAAGAGACCCCCAACCCTCTTCCGCTTCCCTAAGACAAGTTCTGCTTTCCAGTTGGAATGGAAATCTTTCTTTTATGTGATTTTTCTAATCAGGCTCTTCTTCATCTTTCTTTCTAATTTACTACGTCAAATTGTAATTGCCAGAGACCAACCTTGGGAAAAAGATCAAGATTATTTGTCCAGTATTAAACACTTACGCCAATGTAATGTTTGCTAAACTGAAGACATATTTTGAAGAGAAATGTCAGTGACAGTACCTGATTTTGATTCCACATGAACCACTGTGTAATAAAACACTGTGCACTATCTCCATCTACAGGTCATTACAATAGTAACACTTCATATAATTTTTCAAAAGAGTGAAGACCATTTAACTCCTTAGATTAAGAGGATCTGACAATATTGCATGTCCTGTTTACCTAGCGGTCAGTGTTTACCATTCCAAATAGCAAAACAAAACAAGACACCTTCACAATTGAAAAAAAAAAAATTCTCCTAAATTCATCTTCTTAGACTATTTCATCTCTCTACTTTAACTCATAATGGTTCACTTTCCATTACATTTGGTAGAATCTCATGTTTAATAATATACCTAAGACTCTCACAGGCCACAAGGATAGGCAACACAAGAAATACAAAGGCAGATAAAGAAGAATTCAAATATTTGGTAATTTATATAGTTATTACTATAATATTGTTAATATTTTGTATTGGACTGTTAGAAAATATTCTGTATATGATTAAGCTCATCAATACATTTTGTCATGACTTGTATAGAGTAGTTATGCTTAATTAGAGAAGTTTAATTTTATCTAATACTCTTAAATTCTTGTCTGGTACATCCTGTTTCTATTGGTTACATAAATAACGGTTTCAAAATGTAACATGTACATGCTTTTATAGAGACTTATGACTTTCAAATTATGAATATTATTTTAAAACTTGTACTTCTATACATTCAAGAGTTACCCTGTAATCTTTACAACTGTCTAGAAATATTCTTGTTGGAAAATCGACTGAGATAGTATGAAGACATTAATTGGGGTAACTTTTTCTACGAATTAGAAAATCGCATGTTCTGTTCAGTTACAACTAAACCGTGAAAAGTCTAATTTAAGACCCTAAATATTGAATTAACACATTTTTAAACAAGAGCTTGTTAAGTGTATTCTAACTAACATGCAAATAAGTTAATTTTGTTTTTCATATTGCTCTTCTTTATTCTTAGCTGGAATTTTATTGCAGTTAAGTTTTTTGAATTCCCTTAGTCATGAATTCATCCAAGGACAATTTTCTTCCTCCTGATGGAATAAATAAAAAGTTACAAAAATTCTCATGCAGATTTAAAATAAAGTGTCCCCACCTTCTTCCAGTCAATGTGCTCAGAAGGAGGGTCCAGGCCCAAAGATAGTCAGAGAGACCAAGACTTTTCTTCATCGCGGGCTTGAGCAGCTGAAAAGTAGAATGAGTAGAGATCAATGTCTCTTGCAAGAAACATCAGGTTATAACCACTAGGGCTGACTGAGGCAGTTCAGATGAATGCTTTGAAGTCAGGAAATGACCTCACTGGGATATGACACCTCATTGGAAGCAATGGGAACCTGGACCATCCATTCTTCACTTTCCCTTCCATTTCTCCATTCAGAAATATATCAGTGTCTTAATTTCTCCTGTAAAAGAATACAAGTTGAAATACTTTCAGGTGACACTATTGCTCAACACAAAAACTGTGAGTTGTTTTTCTCTAGGTTTATATTTCCAATATAGTTTGATTTATTCTCTCCTCATTGTTTATTATCTGGAATTTTTGACCTTTCTGATTTGAGTTCCCAAGACTGAACAGTGCATTGAAAATGTTAAGCTGGTGTCTGTCATAGAGAGAACATGTTTGGGAGTGGGCTGGGGTAGGCTAACTTGTTCTGTTGACTGAATTCATCTTTGATTTTGGATGTACCTTGATGTTAGAGCAACTGCATTTATCTCTTAAAAAAAGCACAGGAAACACACTGTTGAATGCCGAAGTCGTGCTTGTATTCTGTGCCTGTGATTGCCTGGTTAAATATGCTCACTAATGCTTCTGTGAGGCTTAAGGACACACTTTATAGTCAAGCCATGTGCTGATCTCTCTCACACACATACGAACCATACACACACACACACAGACACACACACACACACAGATGCACGCAAACATGCCCATCCATATCTTTTAAGCCCTCTTGAATTCTGCCAGGTTGCTGCTAGAAAATGTTCCATCTCAAACAGATGGAAGCTGGAGTGCTTTGCTTTGCATGAATAAGGAGGTCTCTTTTCCCTCTTAGGTAAAGTGCAATCAATCACCATCTGATTGTTGAATTTAGACTTGGTAGTGGGATGCTGAAGGAATGGAGGAGTATTGGAAGCTTAGAAAATTTAAGATATGTAATCTATTTGTGGAGTCAGTTTTAAAAATTCAGTGTACTACGTGCTTTAGGATCATACACGGTAACATTTTACTTTAAAGTGTTGTAGTTTATTTCAGTCATAATAGAAGAAATGTATAGGTATTTATTAGCACTTTCCTGAACCTATATTTCTTAGTATGGTCAGTGATTAATAGATTGCAAGTCTTTAAAAGCATATTTTTCATTAAGCACTCAGTAATTTAATGTGATATGCCTTTAAATACCTCTACAAAATGCTTTCCATACTCTCTGGGATCATTTAAATCAGTAAAACCATTAGAAACAGGCATGTAAGCAATGAAACATAATTAATGTGTTTAGAGTGAAATGGTCTAGAGATAAGAACAGTGAGCCTCATCACAGCTTTTACTTAATTTAGTGAGTGCTTTTGACACAGAGGAGCTGAATATGACAAATCTTGAATAAATATCATGATGTTAAAATATTGCATCTAATTTTTGCACAATTATTTGCCCTTTTGTTAGTCTTTGACATTTGTGATGAAGAAAAGAAACAACTTCTCTTATCCCTACTAATTTTCATTGATCTTTCTAAAAAGGGGAAATACCTGAAGGGGTAAACAAAAACAAAACCCCAAGGCAAAGCACCATAGCTTGTTGCCCTCCTCTGACATTACAAAAAGAGAAAAATAAACCTATCATGTCACTTTGGTTGCTGAGTGAGAAAGTTTTTTGCAAATACAAACATAATAGTTTAAAGGAAGCACTAAGCTGCTGCCTTTCCCCTTTGCACCTTCCACCTCCCCCCGCCCCCAGACACACACTCCGAACCCCATTATCCATCCCATGCCACCTATTGCACAGAATAAGTTGAGTTCCTCAGGTTTTGAATGGGAGAGACCCCTCTACCAAAGGGCATTTCGGCAGCGTCCACTGGAAAGGCGAAAAGAGGCAATTTTGCAGGCAGGGTGAGAGAGTACCTTCCCTAGAATGGAACAGTGAGACAGGTTTTCTGTCCCAGCGTCTTAACTTTAGGCGATGGCCCCCGGCGCCCCTCCCCAACTCACCCAGCTCCCCCTTGCAAAAATAGAAAAAAGCACCAAAACAACATGTCACCACTCACTCCGCGGAATAAATTCAGATCCACCTAAGACATGAGGAAAGAAAAGAAGAAAGAGGGGAAACAGAACGCTCCAACATCGCTGCGGTTTTCTCTAACCAAAGAAAAACATTCGTTGTTTCTACCTGCTATGGGATCAGGCTCTGGTCCTCATCCCTCTTTCTCTCCCTCTCTCCTTTCCCCCCCACTATCGCATTTCTGCCTCTCCAGCTAGGAAAAGCCACGTTCAAAGCTCTGTGTGTCGCGGTCCGAAGCCGCGCTTACCTCGGGCCCCCTCTGGGCACAGGATCGCTCAAGACCGGGTAAAAGTCTGCGAGAGAAAATCGTGGAGAGACTGGAGCCGGCGCGAGTCTGCGAGTCCGGGCGCGCCTGGAGCTGAGGGGCGTCCTCGCTCTGCCTCTCACTCACTCGGTCTGAGCCATCATGGACTCTGCGTGCTCCTTTGCTGAAGATTTCACACCCAAATTTGCTTCCCAATATCCAATCTGCAGCTATACAACAAAAGATTTCTCTTTACCAAGACAGTAGTAATACGTCCCAGGGCAAACCGGATGTGAAATAGGCGGTGACTTCATGCCAGAGAGATTTTATTTTAGAAAGGAAGGTGGTACCAGCTTCTGGAGCTGAAGACCAATCCGCCCATTTTTTATATGCAGCACAATTTAACTTGCACCGCTCTGGCCCTAATCCCCTTCTCTCTAGCTGCAGACTCAAATCCTTCTACAATCTGCTGCAAGCTTCCCTTTTTGGGGGGGAGTGGGAAAGGGGGAGGGAAGGGTAAAAAGGATTGGAGATGCAAGGACTACACTTAGAATCTTTTCACACTTGCAATGTACGAACACTCTATTTTAAGGTGCTCCCATTAAAAACAGCCTCTGATCATTGTAACTATTCGACCTTTGATCAGCTATTTAACCACTGCACCCATATGAATGAACGCAAGCTAGCAAACAGGGAGGTGCGCGATCACACATGTGGAGAGCGCGCGCTCCTCCTGCCTCTCTCGCGCGCACACACTCCCACATATATGTCTAAATCCTTGGGTCTTGCAGAATCACGAACAGAGAGGAGTGGTAGAGAAGAGTTCTGGCCGGCAGGGAATTGGCCACTGGGATTAGAGAGTCTTTCACACTTTCTTGGGTTGTGAGCACTCACCACCCCACCTTCCTCTGTAGCTTAGAGGACAGCAAGAACACGCTCCCTACCCAGGTTTTAGGCTTTGAAGGCAACTGTTAGTCTGGGTATGCTGTCATCCAGAAAACATCGGTGCCTTTACCTCTGAAATGTGCCGGGGTCCTGGACGAGGAATATTTAACTTTAAGTAAATCGCCCTCATCATTTCTAGATATGAGACGTATCTCCATTTCCGGAATTATTCCTCTGCCTGGAACTCCATCATTCTAGGATTAGGGAAAATGGGACGGGAGAGGAGGGATTTTTAGAAGTCAGAACAAAACGCACTTTTACTTTTTTTTTTTTTTTTTTTTTTTTTTTTCTGTGCCCTCTTCTATTAGCTTCCCCGGTAGCTCTCCACCCACGAATAATTACACACTTAAAGAAGAGGGTGTGTTTCTACATCAGTCTAACTAAAATTCCAAGAACCAGGGATGACTGTGGTTTCTCCGTCGGATTTTGTGAATGGCTGTAACAGGGAGGGGATGGTACTGTCTTCCTGGGAGCGTGAACTGAAAAGCCCTCGAACTCTTGGGAGCTGTCCCTTCAGCACCTCCGCCCAGCCTCCGCAGGAGGTGCTGAAAAGATGAGACGCCCCATGTAATGTTTCTGCTGCATCATGTCTGAGCTCTGGTAAGCTCACTGGCCGTTTTCCCAAGTGGGGTTTGAGCAGAGGATAGAGGTGGGGGTTGACTCAGTGGGAAAAAAAATGAAAACGAAATACTCAGTCCATACCATTTTGGGGGTTTTGATTCTACAAGTGATCCCTGACCTTGTGTTGTAGCGTAAGCAGCTTACATGATGAAAACTCAAATAAGGTGCTTGAAATAAGAATATGAAACTGAAGACAAAGGTATGAATGGGATTTGGTTACCTTCTGAGTTTATGTGAAATATTACTGGGAAATGATTTTAGAGATAAATTTTTGGAAGGGATAATTTGTTTAACATCTTAAGATATAATTATTTTGGGTGGTAGTTAGTTGCCTAATCTGTCCAGATACAATAAATGTCAATGTATGCTTACAAATATTCATTGAAGAAATATCACAGCTTCCCTATGTCACATTATTCAATTCTCATTTACTCATTATCTATTAATTAATATACTTATTTACTAAGCAATTTTGAGGATACAATTGACTTTAATTAGGTTTTGAAGCCCTGAGTTAGCAATTAGAGAACATTATTATTATTTTTTTTCTTAGAGAGAGATTTTTGCTATAGGGTGCATGCACTCACCAGAGAGACAAAAAAAGACAGAGAGACAGAAAGCAAGAAAGCACTCCCCAGGGGGTGTTACCATGTAGCAATCCCATCTCTTTCATTCTCCTCTCAGGATTTTGGGCACACATATGTCCAGTGTGATTTAAGTGGCTGGGTCTGGGACTTGAACTGCAGTTGACTACATGGGAGTCCAGAGAGGTAATTTTTCTGCCATCTGCTGGTCCCAGAAAACATTATTTTTTTACCCATAAATATATAATAGAATTCTACAGTCTTGTTTTGTTTAACAAAAATCAATAGTCATAAAAAAATGTGAGCTTTTAACCTTTTCTTCTCCTGGCTAGATTATTAAAATTTATTTTAACTTACTCTCTAAATTGAGGATAACATTATATCTTATATCTAATAACACACAACCAAATCATTCTACTGCTATGCTTTTGCAAACACAGTCACTGAAACTTTATAATTTGAATGGTCTCTGAAAACAATGCCAGTCAGGTCAGGTCCTGCTGCTTCACACTAGAAATGTTACGGTACTCTGCAACAGTATGCATACAATTTCACAGCTTTTTTATACATTTAAAAACAAATAAACATTTATAAATAATTTGGGAATTACTTTATTTATGAGGAAATGAATATACCTATAATATGGTTCTCTCTTTAAAATCCAAGGTATATTTCACTAGATTATTTCTGTAGATCTCATCTTGGAATACACATAAATTATGTATATTTTATATATACCGGCAGGTTGCATAGTGGTTAGGGACGCTGGACTCCCACATGTCCAAACGCGATTAGAGTTCCGAACCTGGTGACTTGCTTTCTCACTTTCCCTTTCTCTTTCTCACTCTGTCCCTCTTTGGTCAATTTTAAATAAACAAACAAATAAAAAATAATTATTCAAAAAAATTTGCTTTGAGACATCTCTGTTTAATAAATAAATTATAGGTGTTGTAAATATTTATATTTGACCATTTCAAAACTGAAAACAGTAATTGCTGCTCTAAATTATGAGTGAATTTATTATTTTCCATCTGAGATATCATATGTATATGTTACCAGAGAATAAAATTCAAAATATTCAACCAGTCAGTGTGATGTTTAAGGTGCCTGGGTCCCAAATGGCTGACTGCACAGTCCAAATTCCAGATCCAGTGGCTTGAAGAACATGCTAGGCACATGTGAGTACATGCCCAAAATCCCAAAAGGAGAATGAAGGAGAAGGGATTGTGGCATGGCCTTGCCCAATGGGAAGTATTTTCTTTCTCTTTCTCTCTCTTTCTCTTTCCAGTCAGCATATGCCCCCTCTGGCAAAATGATCAATAAGATAAAATAAGTAAAATAGCTATGAGTAATGAATGACAAGGACATAATTTATATTGTCTTCTAATATTGAATCTTTTAGATAATTCTTAATATTCTTGTTTTTCTTTTATGCAAAATAAGTCACTTCCATGTGTGTGTGTACACCTGATTAAGTTATTGAAATAATAAAAACCATGATGATTAATGCTCTTAAAAGGTTTACTTAGCTCCAAGTAAGGTGCGAACCAGTTTGTATAAATTGTTCAGTTTAATTCTCAAAACAAATCTATTTGAAAGATAGTATTAATATCCTTTTTCACAAACTGTTCAATAAATCATAGATTAAAAAGATCAAAGACTTGCCCCAAATGACACAGCTAGGGAGTATCAATATTTGGACACAAATCTCAATCTTCTGACATCGAAGCTTATTTTTTTAAACCACACTTATATGTTACTTTATTTCCTTCTATGAGGTTATGAGCTCACATTAAAATCTTTTCATCCATTTTATAGCCATGTCTGACCATATTTACATCAGTCACATAAGATCTATGAATATATTTATTACTTATTCATAACAATTCTTTTTATTTTATTTTTTTAAATTACCTTTCATATTTCAGAGGTTCCTGCTCTTTTCCTTCTGGTTCATGAGTCTTGTGGCAAAGACCCTCTTCACAGTCACTAGTTCTTGGCCAAAAGGATTCGAGGTCAAACCTAGGATCAGGGATCCTGGAGAGGACTAATAGCTCTGTCTCCACTTTTGCAATCTGGTACATTTTGCTTTTTCTGTCAATTTTAAATGGCAGGAAGCCCTGACCTAATTGAAGAAGTGTTACTGATTCTATTCAACAGAAAAATGTTTTTACTTTCTTCTACTAAATGCTAACCAAATGAGGGGGAAAAAATAGCAAGAGTGCTCGCATTTATTCAGTGTTGCTTTTTATCATTTACAAAATAACTTGGGGAAGAAGCAGAAGAAATAAGTAAAAATAATAAAATATCAAACAAACTTCAGCTAAAGCCTAGAATTTTGTGATTTCAAAAAATGTTTTGTGTGGCTTATAAATATACACTGAAATGATATTTTAATGTTATCTAATGTTATCATAGTGTTATCACACTGTTAGCAATCTGTAACAAAAAGTGTATCGGTTGTAGCTGAATACAAGTTCCCCTACATTTTTTATATGGAATATTTCACTATATTCATTAAAATAGTCCTACTTTTTTAATTCTTCTATATATAACACAGATCATCTAGTATACCCAGAAGGATAGCCCAACTTTTATAAATGGTAGTTGAACTAATAGCTCAGTTGAAGGCAAAACATGATTTAATTAATAGAGTAGGTTTTTGTACCTTAAACAAGACACCTTTGTCATATGGGTTATTCAGACAAACTATTTTTCCCAGACTGGAAGATAAATTTGATATCTTAGCCTACTGAGAAATATGGTAAATATAGTAAAAACAAAAATAAAATTTCTTTTTATTTGTGTTAAAAGTGTTTGGCAGGACCAGCAGTTAGCATAATGGCTATGTCACTGGACTCCCATGTAGTTAACTGCGGTTAGAGTCCCGGACTGGGTGGCTTAAAATTCATGCCGGGCACGTGTGCGTGCGTGCCCAAGATCCTGGGAGGAGAACAGAGGAGAAGGGATTGTGGCGTGACCATCCCCCCAGGGGGTGATTTCTCACTTTCTGTCTCTCTGTCTGTCTGGTGAGCACACGCACCTTATGGTAAAAAATGTCTGTCTGCCGCCCTTATGAGAAAAAAAAAAAAAAAAAAAAAAAAAAAAAAAAAACTCTCCAAAAAAAAAGGTTTTTGGCATTCTAGGGAGACGTAGTGCCTGAACCACTTCAGGAGATCACAAGGCTATGTAATTTTCTCATGATTTTGGCAGAAGTAGAACCTCCATTTGCATGGCAGAGTAAATGACCACATTCTGAAGTTTTAGAATGCAGCAATGATACCTCAGAAGATGGAGGTAACATTACAATAGAAATCACAAAACCCTCTCCTATGGTACCTAAAGGGTTCCTAATGAATGGCATTTTCTTCACTCTCTCTTCTCTCTCTCTCTCTCTTTCTTCTTCTTCTTCTTCTTCTTCTTCTTCTTCTTCTTCTTCTTCTTCTTCTTCTTCTTCTTCTTCTTCTTCTTCTTTTGTTTCTGGTTTGCTATAGGGCACACAAGTTACTAAGGAAAGAGAGGTAGATATAGAGAG